CCCTCCCCTCCCCTCGTCCTCTCCTCCCTCCCCTCTCCTCCACTCCCTCCCCTCTCCCCATCCCTCCCCTCTCCCCATCCCTCCCCTCCCCTCCCCTCTCCTCCCCTCCCATCCCATACCCATAACCCTAACCCTGATCATTCTCATTATTTTCCTACCATGTGCCGGGCCTGTGCCATCCTCAAAGGACCCATTCGAATTTAGTTTCTCTGTTTCAGTTTTTCATCACTAGAACTCGCTCCCACCACCTTTAGTAAACTCTAATATTGAAATGTTCTCTGCAGCTGTTTGCGGTGCTGACCTACCAATCTGATCGGCATCAAAATCTGTCTTTCTTACAGTCCTATGGAGTCTGAGGAGTTAGCATTAATTATGGATGATTTATTCCCGTTGCTGTTGCTGCGGTGTACGCGTGAGATCGTGCGAAGTTGGTATACGGTATTCAGGTTTGAACGATCATACGCTAGGCCAATCACACACACGCACGCACGCATGCACACATGCAGACACACACGCACGCACGCACGCACGCACGCACACACACACACAGGTTGGATTAGGATCTAGAAGACTAGGTACTTACGCAGTGCCGTGAGCAATTCTGGTGACTTTCTGAGCAGTGAGAAACCATAGCTGTCCATTGGAACCACTGCCTTCCTACAACAAATAGTTCTTTCTGCAGTTACGATCGCAAGATGAACAACAACTATAAATTCCATTACAAAATTACTTCTCATGTACACGCACTTAATCACCGTTCACTTGACTATGCTTAAATACGCAACTTCTTGTTGTATATGGCAACGCAACTTTTACACAACTGTTCTAAAGCGCATGCATGTAATTTAATTTGTTTAAATCGCGTTACAACAGTTGGTGATCGAGCCATTCTTTCTTCGCTGATGTCATGGAATGTTTACCACCGCCAATCTAAACTGCTGTTTTAATTGTTTATCCATAACCTCACTCACGAACATTCCTTATATAGTTCGCTGACTGGTAAAAGTTAAACTACACGTAAAGACTAAAGTATCATGAGAAGGTATATACGTACACGAACCTTACGTATACGTAACGTATAACGAAGAACGGTTGAATAACTTACGCGTGTCAGCGTTGACATTTATCGTGCAAAGCAGACGATACGGTAACACCAACACCGCGTCCTGGGCTAGCTACTGGCAGACGAGCACCGACGTGCGTTGATATGTGTCAACAACAACAGAATCCTGTGGCCGTTCAACATTGAGTCGATTCAGATGTGTCGGCTGCACGTGTCACGCAGCCGATCTAAGGATTACTAATAGTATTAGTGGCAAATATTCACTGTTGTGCCACAGCGTGGGCTTACAGATTCAAAATACATTATTCAATGTGATCTAGCATCATCATGATCTGTGTAGCGGCTTAAGTATACAATTAGTCACGTTTGAGAAGGTAATTAATACTTTCTGAGTTTCTCGCAGACGATCATCATAGGAACAGCTGGTGTGTGTTCTATTGTTATTGTTTACAGACTTACTGCGCCATCTTTTGAGCAGAAAAGTAACTGTGTGCAGCCATATTGAAAATAAATGTATTGTGAAGGTATTTTGCCAGGTGGTTCAGATGTAAACATTTTTGCATGTTTACACTACAAAAATCAGGCTATAAGTGTCAGGTAGGGGTTGGGGATAGAAGCCACACTGGACAGGCTGCCAGAATATATTCGGGACACCATGGATTGGTTTATGGGGTGAGTATAATGATATACACTGACGTTAAAAATCGTAATCAAGACTATGGTATGGAGTATGGTGCATGATTCATGCAAATTGAACGTGTCCCACTAAGACTACAGATCATATGTTAATCAGTGAACATATAACTTAGCCCGTGGTCTATATCGCGGCACTACAAGTTGTTGGATATGGATCGAATACGAGAGCGCCGTGAACTATCGCTATGTTGAAGTTCACCAGGGTCAAAGAAAAAATACTCCTCGTACAAAAAGTATAGTATGGGAATCAATGTACGCATTCAGTGTACATTGTCGTCAAAGTCATTTACAGTTAAATCCAATATAATCAATGTTTACTAATGACATAATGTTTGTTCTCAGATATTGATGATATTTTTGCTGTTTTAATACAATGCCATTGGTTATTCAATACCAACCTGGGTTCCATACCATGCATGGGGGTTATTTCCAAATGTGATTTAATATCAAATACTGGACAAGTGCAGATCTGCTCGTACAACTTCCTGGAAATTTTGGTTAGCAGGCCTAACCCGATAGTTCAAGTCAGAAGCCTTGGGCAAGGGAAGACTTCACCCCACCCACCACCGGTCTCCACGATTCTATAATCTTCGTGCGACATTCGTGGATCCAGCGTTAGTTAGTGGCGCGCGCCAGGTCTGCGTGCGTGATCGATTCAGCACCTACGTATGCACAGCAGTCTCTCCGTCAGCAGGCGGGCTCGTGTTGCATAGATGAGTAACGTCGCTCGCACACAAGCTGTTGCCAGCGCGGCGGCGGCGGCGGCTGCTACCATCACACACCTCGTGCCACGATCAGCGCAGCGGTGGCACGTCGCGTCGCGCGCGCTCCTGTCGTTATCCGGCCGCCCATCATGGTATCGCGATCATGGGCAGCAGTCTGGGAGTGATGCAGATATTGGACTGCGTGCTGATGGGCAGGTACGGGGAGCGGGCCGTGCGGGCGTGTCGCGGCGCGGGGCGTCTCATGTGCAAGGGACTACTGTCGCAGACCGCGGTGAAAACGCGAAACGAAGCTGCGTGTGGATTTGAATTTCCGATCGAGTGAATCTATAAGCGGGCGGCGATCGATTACCGTGAGATACGTGATTGCTAGCGATGTGACAGCTTGACGCTTGTGTCAGGGATTGTCTGAACTTATGCCGGTTTCGTTCTGGGGTGACACTGCCTTGCTAACGTATCCCCTATGTCAAAGGTCAGGCAGTGACCTTTACAAGGAAATCTTCTTCACTTCTGTCTCTTTCTCCCTCTTTTTCCCTCTCCCTCTCACTCTCTCTCCCTCTCTCTGTCTCTCTCTCTCTCTCTCTCTCTCTCTCTCTCTCTCTCCCTCTCCCTCTATCTCTCTCTCTCTCTCTCTCTCTCTCTCTCTCTTTCTCTCTCTTTCTCTCTCACTCTTCCTCCCTGCTCTCTGTCACACGCTCCCCTCTCTTCATTCTCTCCTCCTTCTCTTCTGCTCGGTAGGAAAACGAGGAGGAAAGACAAGGAGGAGAAGGTGAGCAGCGAGGAGAGGAAGCCATACCTGGAGGATGCTCTCATACAAGGCCGATTCTGCGATGTCGACCTAAAGAAGCTGGTCACTATCCCCCAGGGTCTGGACTACAACGAGTGGTTGGCCACAAATAGTGAGTGTCACACATGAGGAGGGGAGGAGGGAGGGGAGGAAGAAGGAGGAGGGAGGGGAAGGGAAGGTTGTCACTATCCCCCAGGGTCTGGACTACAACGAGTGGTTGGCCACGAATAGTGAGTGTCACACAGGAGGAGAGAGGGGAGTAAGAGGGGAGGGTGGGGAGGAGGTGGGAGGGAGGGGGAGGTTGTCACTATTCCCCAGGCTCTGGACTACAACGAGTGGTTGGCCACGAATAGTGAGTGTCACACAGGAAGAGGGGAGGGGAGGATGGAGGGAAGCGTGGACGAGAGAGGAGGAGGGGATGGGAGGAGGAGGGAGGGGAGGAGGGTGGCTCATGGGGGAGCTGTTTCTGTATGTGTACACCCTACACTATGTTGCATAACATAAGATCCCAGCACATTTTTATATTATTTTATATTTTATCATATATCATATAATATCATATTATAATATATATTGTATTATATCATAGTATATTGCTATTTTTATTACATTATGTTATATTATATTATCTTACATATTTTTTTATAATTCCTTTATTTCCAGATATGTTACACACATATTATAGCCAATACAATACATAGACAATTTGATATATGTAGGTATACATTAACACATAGACAACAACATACACAATAACATTATTTATACTGAACTTATTACATGTTTATTGCAGCGATATCATTCTTTCAACACATCAATCTGATGTATGGCACGTTGTCCGAGTATTGCACGCTGACCACATGTCCTGAGATGAGGGCGCCACAGAACTCGTAAGTACACGCGCCCGCCGCTGCCGCCGCCGCCCTGATCAATGCATGCTCACTTGTCTCATGCAGCGCATGCATGATCACACATGGCTACAGTTATGTATAGCTATGGTTTAATATGTACGTACAGCTATGGTTATGTATGTATAGCTATGGATATGTATGTACAGCTATGGTTATGTATGTACAGCTGTGGTTATGTATGTACAGCTATGGTTATGTATGTACAGCTATGGTTATGTATGTATAGCTATGGATATGTATGTACAGCTATGGTTATGTATGTACAGCTGTGGTTATGTATGTACAGCTATGGTTATGTATGTACAGCTATGGTTATGTATGTATAGCTATGGTTATGTATGTACAGCTATGGTTATGTATGTACAGCTGTGGTTATGTATGTACAGCTATGGTTATGTATGTACAGCTATGGTTATGTATGTACATCTGTGGTTA